ACCATATGTGTATTTGTTCACCAGTGATTTGTACACTGATTTTTGAATTTTATTGGACTTTTTTTATGCATTTTGATTCACACGGTTGTTGTAATACCTTTGGTATTATTTGTTGATGTGATTGTTTGAAGCACTGCTCACTTCAGTTTGTATGATTTATCCTCCAGTGCTGGGATCACTTAATCACCGTTTGTGTTTTGATCAGTGACATCCTGATCACTTGTTTTGTTTTCACTGTTTTTTTTTATTTGATGTTGGTCTTAAATTTAAGATTGGGTTAATTGTGAATGCATGTATTGTAGTATATCACTATTTATTTTCACTATTCCACTTTGTGTTTTTCACATTTGGATCCTATTAAGGATTAAGACACTATTAAGAGATTAACCTAGGATCTCTTGCACTTGAGGTTATCACTTATTTGATCTGAGAAAGATCAGGTTATTAGTAAAAACGTTTATATCACAATTTGTATGTTATATTTGCTTATGCATAATATTTATACATTGGTTCTGAGCGCTACATCATTATTTTATTATTTATTCTATTCCTGTATTTTCTGTTCTATTTTTTTCTCTGTTTTACTCTATTATTTTCTATTCTATGATTTGATTTTCTATTCTAATCTTTTCTTTTATTATTCTATTCTAAGTGATTTTATTCTTTTCTGTTCTATTCTTTGATTTTCTGTTCTTCTCTTTTCTATTCTATTCTAATTGATTATTTTTTTCTATTTCTTTATTTTCTATTATATTTTGTTCTGTTTTATGCTATTATTTTATTTATTTATTTATTTATTACAGGTACTTATATAGCGCCATCAATTTACGCAGTGCTTTACATATACTGTATATTGTATACACAGATCAGTCCCTGCCCTCAAGGAGCTTATAATCTAAGACCCCTAACTTACATTCATAGATACACATACTAGGGCCAATTTAGACAGGAGCAATTAACCTACCAGCATGTCTGGTGGGAGGAAACCGGATACCCAAAGGAAACCCACTCAGGCACAGGGAGAAATGCAAACTCCAGGCAGGTAGTGCCATGGTTGGGTTTCGAACCAATGATCCTAGTGCTATTGAAGATATTCCTGAGTCAACAATTTAGGCCTAATTCAAGACTTGCTAATACATTATCAACTAAACAAATTGGAAGAAGAAAAAAAAAAAAGGAAAATGGTAAAGAAAAAAGTTTTAAAATATTGAAAAAAATATGACATTTTCCTTTTTTTTTTGGCATACTCTCACCAGTCAGTATGCCCGATCACTGCCACACCAGTCATATGATGATGCTGTACACTGCTCTGGTGACAGTATGTAAAAAATATATATACTTTGTCTAATTTCTTCATTTTCCCCCCCAAAAATTGGCAGAAAAGCACCATCCCACCTTCTAAATACCTTGGACTTTTTTCTTTCCAAAAAGAGGTTATTTTGGGGGGATTTGTACTGTCCTGGCATGTTAGGGCCTCAAGGAATGAGGTACATGAGGATTGATTCAATTTCAAATATACACCATAGTTTGTAGACTCTGTTACTTTCACACAGACTATATAAATAAACACTGATTTGGGTTATTTTTACCAAAGAAATGTAGCAGAATACATCTTGTCCTAAATTTATGAAGAAAGATTATTTATTTGCAAAATTTTATAACAGAAATGAAGAACAATGTGTTTTTTTTTTTCCAAAATGTTTGGTATTTTTTATATAGCAAAAAAAAACATCCAGTGATGATTAAAACCACCAAAAGAAGGCTCTATGTGTGTGAAAAAAATTATACAAATTTCATGTGCTTGACTGAATAATTGGCATTCAAAGTGTGGCAGCGCTGAAATCTTAAAATTGTCCTGGGCAGGAAGGGGGTGAATGTGTCCAGTATTGAAGCGGTTAAAGTGGAAGTAAAGTCAAAATGTAAAAAGTTGTTGACATACAGGGTATTTATGACAGAAGAGACCCTATTGGTCTCTGCTGCCATAAATGCATCCTCCTGCCTGTCAGCTGTTATCTACACTGAGCCATGCATGCACGGCTCAGCGAACATTTACAGCCCCGATCTGTGCCGGGGTGACATCATTGCGGCCTGACCTATCACTCATCCGAAGACACAGGGCCCGGAAGGAAGACTGGGTGAAGATGGAAGCGCCAGGGGCTCTCCAGATCGATCTCACTGCAGCACTGGAGGGCACCTTTTGACAGGTAAGTCTGCCATAATGTACTAATATACCATACATAGCAGCACATTATAGCATAACCCACCTGGGAGGCCCCAAAAATACAAATTTTACAGCAGAGTTTACTACCACTTTAAATAACACGAAATGACTAACTAAATACAATGAAATAAATAATGACACTATCTAAATGACACTGAGAATTATACTGCCACCAAATGACACTGACTGACACTAAGGCTGGCCATATATTATACAATTTTCATGAGATTATTGCTTTAGATTTACCAAAAAGCATATAATAGGAGGTCAAACCCAAACAACACTTTCAGTTGTATCCAATTAGGCAGGCCCTTGCACTACACAGTTGAAAGTAAATCTAAAGGAACTTGAGCAGACATTGGACAGAAAACTGTATAGTGTATGGCCAGCCTAACACTGACACTCAGTAGCCTAGACCAAGTCCTAATCTGATTAATCTTTGCGGATCCATTCTGTCCTCAATCTCACTGTGTGCCAATAGAGAGTTGGTTTTAATTAGCTCCAGTTTCACAAGAGACAAACTGTTGTTATGTCATTTAGAATTTGAATCAATGTGGCAAAATGAAAAAGTGTCTCAAATAAGAATTAACTGAATTTGGCGCAAATGTTTATTGAATTTTGGCGCAATGTATTAACCACTTGCCCTCCAGAGGATTTACCCCCTTCCTGACCAGGCCATTTTTTTCATTACGGCGCTGCTTACTTACTTTAACTGACAATTGCGCGGTCATGCAATGCTACACCCAAATGAAATGTACGTCCTTTTTTTCCCCACATATAGAGATTTCTTTCAGTGGTATTTGATTGCCTGTGCAGTTTTTATTTTTTTTGCGCTATGAAAAAAAAAGTCCGACAATTTTGAGAAAAAAAAACAATGTTTTTGAACATGTCCAGTAAAAAAATGAAAAAAATAAATTTCGTCATAAATTTAGGCCAAAATGTATTCTGCTACAAGTCTTTGCTGAAAAAAAATCCCAATACATGTAAATTAACTGGTTTACGTGAAAGTTATAGCATTTACAAATGGCGGTATAGATACTGGGATTTTTTATTTTTTTTTACTAGTAATGGTGGCAATCAGCGACTTATAGTGGGACTGCGGAACTGCTGCGGCATTATGACACTGGGGGGGGGGACTGACTTGGCATCACTGACACCCCCAGTGACACCAATACAGTGATCAGTGCAGTGAAAAAGCACTGACACTGTACTAATGGCACTAGGCAGGAAGGGTTTACAAACAGTTCCCCCCCGTTGGAGATGCTAGGCAATCACCGGCGACCCTGTGATTGACAGCCACGGCTGTATATATACGTGATTTTGCGCACCTGTGCCACCCTGTAGCAGTACTACTACTATATTGCAGATGGGAAATAGTTTAAGTGTTACTGTCAGGGCTCCGGGTATGACCAGAGGTGTGTGGACTGACACAGGGAAACGCAGGCTTCAGATATCGTATAAACAATATGATTTATTAAGACTAACAATACAAAACGCAGTGCAAAACTAAACATAAACACAGTGCAAACAAACCAAACCACCCACCGATAACAATACATACAATACAAAGAGTAGTCAGGCAGGCCGGGTCAGTAGCAAATGGGCAAACGGGGTACCAGGAACAGGCGGGAGAGTGGTCGGGGTCACAAGCTGGGTTCAGTAACTCACGGGCAGCGTGGTGCAGAGGGTCAGGCAGAGAATGGTCAGGGTCACAAGCCAGGGATCAAACACAGGAGAAGAAGTCAGCAGAGGTCAGGATCAGGCAGGGTCGGCAACAAGTCAGGCAGGAACAGGAACACAGGATACAAGATACAGGGGCCCATGGAAAAACACACACCACCACGGCCCTGACTGTGAGTCTGGCCATTACTTAAATACAACCCCTGCAATCAGCTTCAGGTGTTTGGCTGACTGCAGGGGTGAGTCTCTGATTGAGGAGAGCACCCGCTGGCCAGCCCTGGTACTGCAGCCCACAAGGCAGGTGAGTCCCACCATTATTGGCAAGCCCATTCCTGACAGTACCCCCCCCCCCCCCCTCAAGGAGCGGCCTCAGGATGCTCCAAACAGTCCTAGCTGGGCAAAATGTTCCACCGCCCAGGTCCGGTAACTGGCGGGATATCAAAGACTGGCACATCGGGCTGGACGCTGGACAGAGGCACATCGGGCTGGACGCCGGACAGAGGCACATCGGGCTGGACGCCGGACAGAGGCACATTGGGCTGGACGCCGGACAGAGGCACATTGGGCTGGACGCCGGACAGAGGCACATTGGGCTGGACGCCGGACAGAGGCACATTGGGCTGGACGCCGGACAGAGGCACATTGGGCTGGACGCCGGACAGAGGCATATTGGGCTGGACGCCGGACAGAGGCATATCGGGCTGGACGCCGGACAGAGGCACATCAGGCTGGACACCGGATCACCAGTTGGAGCGGCGGGCACCGGGCCCCCAGGCGGAGCGGCGGGCACCGGGCCCCCAGGCGGAGCGGTGGGCACCGGGCCCCCAGGCGGAGCGGCGGGCACCGGGCCACCAGGCAGGGCGGCGGGCACCGGGCCACCAGGCAGGGCGGTGGGCACCAGGCCACCAGGCAGGGCGGTGGGCACCAGGCCACCAGGCAGGGCGGCGGGCACCGAGTCATCTGGCAAGACCGCGGGCACCAAGTCATCTGGCAAGACCGCAGGCCCCGAGTCATCAGGCACGACAGCGAGCTTTGAGTCAACCGGCACGACAGCAGGCTCCGAGTCAACTGGCATGACAGCGGGCATCGGGTCACCAGGTATGACAGCGGGCACCGGGTCATCTGGCTCGACAGCGGGCATTGGGTCACCAGGTATGACAGCGGGCACTGGGTCATCAGGCATTGGATCGTCTGGCTCAACAGCGGGCATCGGGTCACCAGGCATGACAGCAGGGCACTGGGTCATCAGGCATTGGATTGTCTGGCTCGACAGCGGGCATCAGGTCACCAGGCATCAGGTCATCTGGCTTGATAGTAGGCACCGAGTCATCTGGCAAGACAGTGGGCATCGGGTCACCAGGCATGACAGCGGGCACTGGGTCATCAGGCATTGGATCGTCTGGCTCGACAGCGGGCATCGGGTCACCAGGCATGACAGCGGGCACTGGGTCATCAGGCATTGGATCGTCTGGCTCGACAGCGGGCATCGGGTCACCAGGCATGACAGCGTGCACCGAGTCACCTGGCATGATAGGATCATCAGGCTGGATCAGTTCATCAGGCTGGGTAGAGACATCAGGCTGGGTAGAGACATCAGGCTGAATTGCAGGTGCCGAGGCACCAGGCTGAACCATGGAAGGTGGGTTCTCAGACGGCAGGCTGACCGGTTTGGATACTGGCAGGATGGTACTGGTTGGAAAGAATTTTCGCTTTTTTTCTGGTTTTAGTTACTGGAGCACTGTAAGTAAACGCAGGTCTGTAAACGAATGGAGCAGCTAACAACAGAGAAGAGCTGGAGGATGGAACAGAGGAGGGAGCAGTTGCTACAGAGGACTTCTTTACAGGGTTAAAGAAAGGATAAGTGCAGCGAGTGGGAGCAGGGGACTGGTATGTGGTAGTTAGCAGAGTATACTAGGCCGTCACTGGGGGTGCTGTCGGGGATGCAGGAAGAGTGCCTTGAGCAGAGGAATGATGTTGCAAGCTGACTGAGGCCGGGTGCAACAAATCTGTCCATGTCTGCAGTACTGGTTGAACAAAACTCAGCTTACACATAGCCTGTCTGATCAAAGACTGCACTGCGTTTATGCAATCCATAAGCACATGCGATGGACAAGCTGCATAATGCTCATGGAAGCAATCTGGATCATCCTCCAACAACCATACCAGTGATTCCACTTGACCCACACTAAATGGGGGAAAAAAGTCATTCCTGCTTTCAGGGGTAAAGGACCGAGCCAACTCAGCACAAACCTGGATCAATGGCTGCACCTCAGAAAACTCTGTGCCCTGATCTACTAGGCAATGAGCGATCCTTATACACTCTAGTAGTTGATCCCGGGGATACTCCTTCAGAGTCTGATAGGCATAGTCTTTGTCATCAAACACTAGCAGAGATAAATACAACACCTCATCAAGATCCATCCTTCCCAGCAACAATAAGCCAAGATGGCTTCCCTGTGCAGCCACTTCTGGTCAGGATTGGCCTTGGTGTAATGTCAGGGCTCCGGGTATGACCAGAGGTGTGTGGACTGACACAGGGAAACGCAGGCTTCAGATATCGTATAAACAATATGATTTATTAAGACTAACAATACAAAAACGCAGTGCAAAACTAAACAAACACAGTGCAAACAAAACAAACCAAACCACCCACCGATAACAATACATACAATACAAAGAGTAGTCAGGCAGGCAGCCGGGGTCAGTAGCAAACGGGCAAACAGAGTACCAGGAACAGGCGGGAGAGTGGTCGGGGTCACAAGCTGGGTTCAGTAACTCGCGGGCAGCGCGGTGCAGAGGGTCAGGCAGAGAATGGTCAGGGTCACAAGCCAGGGATCAAACAGGAGAAGTCAGCAGAGGTCAGCATCAGGCAGGGTCGGCAACAAGTTGTAACGGACCGCCTGACAGCACCTCTATCAGTCCCCCGGTAGAGCCTCCCCAGAGTGCGGAGTCTAAGCACCGGAGCACTTGTTCACCAGGGCCCCTGATGGTGGGGATGGACTTAGAGCGCTCCGGTACCAGGTCGCAACTACCAGGTATCTCCAACAGGGGTAGAGGAGTCTGACAGGGGCTCCAGAGAGCTAGGAGTCTGATGTAAGGGAGCCTAGTGATCCCTGCGGGGTGGCTGGATGGATGAGCTAAATCAGAGTCATGCAGGCCGGGTCGGTAACTAGCGGATCGGTAAGGTACAAAACGGTAGGCAAAGGATAGTCGGGTCACACGCAGGGTCAATACCAGGAGGTCAGATCTAAACGGGAACATCCAGGAGCAGAGTCAGGCAAGCCAAGGGGTCAGGACGGGAGAAGGCAACAAGGTCAAAACAATCCAGATCAGAAGTACTCACACACAGGTAACAGGATACAAAGACCATTCGGCAACAAATGTCTGTGCAGGGCAAGTTTAAATAGCCCGCCCTGCACCTGACAGGCGTAGCCTGGGTCCCAGTGCCTGCCTAGTACTGTCCAGATGACGGGTGCGCCTGGGTCCTAGTGCCCTGCCACCTATACGTCTCGGCAGACACCTATGCATGTGTAGACCAATGCGTCGCGATGGTTCCTGACACAAGTCAGGCAGAAGCAGAAACAGGAACAGGAACACAGGATACAAGATACAGGGGCCCATGGAAAAACACACACCAAGGCCCTGACTGTGAATCTGGCCATTCCTTAAATACAACCCCTGCAATCAGCTTCAGGTGTTTGGCTGACTGCAGGGGTGAGTCTCTGATTGCTGAGAGCACCCGCTGGCCAGCCCTGGTACTGCAGCCCACAAGGCAGGTGAGTCCCACCATTATTTGCAAGTCCATTCCTGACAGTTACTAAACCTAGGACCCTGCATTCACTATATCTGATCTCCCACAGTACACAGAACATGGAAATGCAATTATTTTATTAAATATAAACTGCTAAATCTTCTTTTCTCATCAGCAGTTAGAGCAGTCTTGTGACTTCTATCAGTGTTCAGCAGAGCACTGTTTAAAGCTTGTAGGAGAAGCTTTCATTCTATTCTAGGAGGATGCAGAACCCCTGACCTCTGTCTGGACAGTGCTGATTGGCCCTGTGCTGATCACATGCACTCTCCTAAGAAAGAAAAACCTATCTAGCAATACACACCAAACTGAGCATGTGCAAAGTGACTCCACACAATATGTCTTATCAGGAGATAAGAGGGGGATGCTGGAAGAAGGGGAGAATCAAACTGTGTTTTTACACAAAGCAGAGGATTAACTCCTTAGGTATAACAAGCATGCTTTACTTCATATACAGACTGATTTTACTGTTGTGGGTTTAGTAACACTTTAACAATGGCTATTAACACTGGAAAAGTGGAGCAGGACTTTTTATTGAATTCTACTGATACTCTTTGAAGGAAATCAATAGTCAGCAATATGTTTACTGTATATTTCAAATTTGTTTTTCAGTTAGAGTTAATTTAAATTTGATTTGAATTTGATTTGAATTTCGGACAAAGTTTTGTTTTGTCATTTCAGATTCATTTAAATTTGTTACTATTGGAATTCGGAAATTCGGATGCATCCCGAATCTCCGATTATTGAAAATTTTGTCCAAATTTCAATTGGAAACAAAACGAATCGCACATGTCTAGTGGCACAGCATGAGCCAAATTCAAGTACAAGTTCTAGACAGGTCCGTGTATTTGGTGCATTCTTCACCACTTTGAAAACGCATGAGAGACACGTTTGAGAAATCTGCCTGGACCAATCTTTATGAATTCCAGAAAGTATGTTTCCTTTAACATATATTACATTATAGAAAGCAAGTCATTTTAGGGCTATGCCTATATATTCTGAAGCATTTTAATAAGTGGCTACCATTGTATTCATTATGGATGCATGACATGACCACTGTTTATTGTTTGTAATGCCACAAGAACCGTATAATGATCATAGTGTAAATAAGACTCAGTCAGTCTCCTGTTTCAGCCACAGCAACCAACAGCTGTCTAATGAGCCAGGCAAGTGCCCTTAGTACATTATGGTAAGTAAATGCTGGTAAACCACTATGTGGACCAGAGAGTACAGAAAACATTTTGTCAACATAACCACAAAAAGCTGCATATTTAACAGCGAGATCTCAGCCTCAGACAGAAATAAATAATATTTGTGGAATACACAATTATCTAGAAGTACCTAATATAGAAATAAAGACCACGAAGGAAGGGTGGACCGAGAAAAGTACCTTATTTATTAGGACAGAGGTTAGTAGGAGAAAGGGTAGATGCTCTTAAATATACTATATCCCATTTCACAGAGGAAATACTAAGTTACCATCCTTTATTTAAGAGGAGCTGTAACCACATTGCTGCTTAATGCTTGCTGTTCATGACTTGGCTTTCTTCCATTCTGCTTTGAATGATGCTTGTAGAGGGCGGAATGGCAATCTATCTTTGGGCACAGTCCAACTGGCAGTATTGTGATAAAATGGGAGGGAGGCTGGAGAAATAGGACAACCTTGAAAAAATGCCCAGATAGCTTAAGCTCACTAGGCAATCAGGTATTTTGATTTTTAGTTTTGTGGCCCATTTCACTGTGCTATGTACCTCTAAATGTCCCAAACTGGGCTTTATAGCTGAAGGTGTTTATGGGAAGAATAGATTCAGTATGTAATGATCATGATGACTCATCAGATCCATCAGGTACAGGGTGGGAGAATAAAAGGATAGGATGACACAATTCTGAGGTGTTATAGACATCGGCCAAACTGAGAGAAATATATTCAGCTCCTAAAATAAATTTTTATATTTTGAACTATTTTAAACACTTTAAGTTCAATGTATTAAGTTACGTGAGGCTGGGCATTGTCCAGGTAAAATGCCATGCCATATGTAATGACAACAGAGTTTACCACTCTAGGAGCATACTGTTGGATCTCCATAGTGCCTCAACTACCACCAATGGCGACCATGTGCAATATCACCATCCCTCCAGGAGCATTTCACTCATCAGTGGGTTAGCTTTTTTTCTTTGCTTTCTCAAAATATGTTGGGGCCGAGCAGTGACGCCACCATGCTGGAGTGGTCCAGCGTTGTTGTTTGTATTTCATGCCTATGTCACTTCTACTCCTATGAGCATACTATACATATTTTAATTAAGCGATTGTAATGTATTACACAATGAGGTTTCCTCCTCATCTTCCTCATGCCTGAGATTGATCTACATATTGCTGGATGATTGTTAGAGAGTTTATTATCCTTCATGTAAAAGCCTGAGCCACTAGATCAGGTGACCGTATAGCAAGCTTGGTTAGACTTCTAGCAACATACCGTTCAGTCACCATTGTCACGCTCCAGAGAAGGACAATTTTGAGAACTCTACTTGAAAAGCTACGTGATGTAGGAGCAACCTATTGCTGGGGATACCCATTCCACTTCATAGTAAAGAAAGGCACTTCCATATCAGGCCAGTGATGTTCCTACCCTGCTTGATAACTTGACGATCCCCCGGTTACATGTGGCTGATTGGCTTTGTGTGCTGCCTGACTTGGACCCACCTCGCCCACAGAGGCAGAGAGCTGCACGCCAATGCTCCGCTCGGCGACAACAACCCATGGCATCTGTTACTGCTACTGCGAATGGCGGTCATGAGGATTGAACTGCCCTGCCACCCTATTACATGATGGAACACTGTTATCTATAGCACCTGCTGGAGACTGGTGCGTCAATTCATCGGACACCCTTTATGTGTTAGAGGCCCCCCCTGCTGTGGAACCAAATTTGACGTTTATATGTTCTCAACTATATGGGCC